ATAACATCGACCTTGCTTAAAAGTAGATCGACAGATTGGTGGATCGTTATGTAGAATCCTTTAGGCAATCCCCAACAACTTTGACCTACCTCTCTGACTCGRGTAATAGACGACCTGATGAGTCAGATAACCTTGGGAGCTCCAACCTATGTGGAATGTCTCCCCTTATCCGCTAACATCACTTGATGCCTTCGAACCACACGGTGCCACATTGCCCACCTGGCAGTAGTAAGATTGGTTCCTCTCGCTTCTTGGAGAATTGGATAAGGGTCAAATGTGGCATTGTACGGGAGTACTCTGCAAGTAATTGATGGATAAGGTCTATCACCTCCAAACATATTGGACACACATTGACCGAACTTCGCAGCCTATATAAGGGCAACTCCTCGCCCTCTAACGGTACACTTACAATATTATTCTCCAGCTCTCTCTTTTTTAAATTCCTACCTACCAGTTCTCATTTTCTCACGGTTTGATACTAACTTGACCATTGGAGTCSCCCTTGCCCGACTCATCCTCTCAGGATCTCTAATGTGTTCTCTTCTTGTAGAACTGGTCTGTCGACTTCACTATCATTCATTGAAGATGTTGTAGCCAATAGAGACTTAGCCAGTTCGAGCACAATTGCTTTAGAACACTGATTTCATTTGTGAATCGAACAGAGCACAAACGTAGCCATGAACTTATTGATAAGTTGATTTTAGCAATAGAGTGGAGGTTGGTAAGGCATCTTCTTCATTCTCCTCCTTTCCCTCTTGCATTTTAAAAGCCAAAGGAATGCTTAAAGTAAACATAATATTCACATCTAATGTCTCACACGAGGTATTGTTATTACTAAGGTTTGACCCATTCAACTAAGTGGCTGAACCAAGGAACCGTCACCCATACATATAACATGTCAAGCTTTAAATTGATTTTTAAAATACCTGGGTGAAGTCAATGCATTCCATCCATTCCAATCATATTACTTAATAGAGCTTCTAATCTATATTATATTCTATTACAATAAAAAATGGGAATATTTCCTAAGGCTTTTTTTTTTTT